ATGTTTTAAATGTATTTTTGCCTTTCATTTGTTTACCTTCAGTTGGGACAATTTATCTTAAGAGTTCATGTTCATGATCTTTCAATGAGTTATGTGTACAGGATTAGAAACTAACTTTAATGCTTTAGGAAACATAAATTTAATATACAGAAAACCAATTAGTTGAAAATTAACCAAGAAGAGGAAGGAATACTGCTTTGGACAAGTAACTTTTTTTCAATTACAAAGAAGAGTACACAAAGAGTGTCTTTGCCTTTCAGGTTGGTAACCTCATTTTCAGTGTATTAGTTTAACATTTGAACTTAGTAAGGTAGAACCAACATAAAGCAATGAAGAAAATAATTTGATTTATAAATGTCGCTTTGAACCAAGTTAGAGCCACAGGAAAATATAATAATAATGCTTGCAAGATTCCAGGCATTAATTTTCATATATACTAATCCCCATGCTGTATATCTTCTACTAAAGATATTTTGGTGCTGGTAGGAAATAGTTGTCAAAATCCTTATAAGTAATCCTAGCAAGAATCAGTATTCTTACTTCAGTTCATTGATGCTCTGTTTGAGCAAAACCAAGAAATGTATTTGTTCTCTTTGCATTGTGTGTATAAGAGAAATGTCATATACTCATGATATATTTTGTACTTCTTTTTTAAACTGCAGATAATTTTATTTAAAACCGACCAATTTCAAGAGTATTTTTAACACTTGAACTGTTCAATTTTGTAATTTAAAAAATGCTCCCCATGTACCAACCTGGATTCTGACTTACTCAGTATTTTGTATGTAACTGTATATACCAAGATTTGTTATTTCAAACTATGATCTTTCTTGCATGAAATAGATTTTTGCCTTTTAGCAAGCCTTCAGGTACTTTGGATCTTTTGAACTCATCCTTCCATTGTCTCAACTTAAGTCTTTGTGACTCCTGCCTTCCTGTCAGGAGTGCCCAAAGGACAGGCTCATTTCCAAGTCTGGAGTGTGCCCAGTTGTGTGAAGCTCACAAAGAGAAGCTCTGTACAGACATAACACTTGGTTGCAAAGGGTTACCTGCATGTTCTTGCATAGAAATATTGCTTAATTTTTTTCATTTAAGACAAACCCTTACATTTAGATTCCGAACCTTTGTTGGTGCTGTGTTGGTATCTCACTTTCAGATTGTTGGTTAAGTAATAATACTTATTTACTGGACTTATTATTCTAATTTTTTTGAATATTACAGCATCCTTAAAATCTCCATTGCTACTTCTGCACTGGGCAGATTATAGTAACCAGTAATGATCTAATTAAGGATCTTCTTGCAAGAGTATTGTCCCAATAGAGGGCATATCAAAATAGAAATGGTTCTGTACTTCCACTGAAGAGGTGAATTCAGGGATTGTCTAAGTGAGTAGAAATTGAGTCAGGTACCTTTCCACTGAGTGCTGACTTGACTGCATGGTATCCTTTGCTTTCCTTTAAAACACTGGATACCCCATATGGAAAGAATACACAGCACTTTTCTGAGATCAGAAGAGTGACTTTGTTGTGACTCCTCAGCTGCATTGGAAGAACAATACAGAAACCTAAAATAAGTTTTCTGTCT